ATGCGCTCAAGTCATTCAATTACCTGCGCCAAGAAGGACTTTTTCCTGAGTATAGGAAGTGGCCCTACGGAGGCCCTGGAGATTGAAACCACGGCAAAGTATTCATTGTTTAAAATATAATAAATCTGCTGCTACTGCTCTAGTGTCTATAGAATATTTATGGGATGCCTACGGAAAACATTTGAATGGACACGGGCTTCACTAACCTCCAGAGCGCGTGAAGCCCCATGGGAACTTTGACCGGTCCCATCAAGCTGCAAAAATGACCACCAGTCCGCGAGGAGCATAAACAGAGCATCAGAGAGTCCATCTCATCTCAGTACCTGCATCTGAAGCGGGCAATGCGTCTCGGGGCTGTCAGGGAGCCTATGCTGTCAATGTGACCAGTGATGCCGGCACTATGCCGATGTATAGTAGAAGTTCCTGAAAGCCCACATAACCAATCAAAATAAGACGCGGCGTCAGTCCCGTTCGTAGTAAAAGTGCCAATCGCTCGCACTTAAAAATGACTGTAGAAAGAGGTCTATGAAGCCAGAATCCTACTAAGAATGCGCCGTATTTATGGAGCCGATAGCTAATCTTGTGGATGCATGGTCCCAAGATAGCAGGGCGCTTCCAAGACTGTAAAACGGTCTCTTATGGGAAGTTTGGCTGGCTCGGTGTAACTCGGCTGCAGTCAGAGCTAATGACGCCATGTTGCTCTATCGGTATATGCAGATATACCCCTCTGAAGAGAGTGCCTCAGGGACAATATTTTCGGGAAGCTGCTCTGATTTGACAACCGGTCCCAAACGCCCAGGAGGGTATTAGATTCGTTTAGGACCGAGAAACAGCCGTGCATCCGATGTTCAATTTTGTGCCGTCTCCGTTTAACTTAAGACAGGCTCAATCCACTACGAATGACGTCCCCGGATATCAGGGATGGTTTTATTGCCCGAAAGATGGTCTGAGGAATCCTATCGACCCGAAGAATTACGTCAGTTTTCTAAATCCATTATCCGATCCTATTTGATTACGACTTTGAATTCCAGTCCGCTGTGAATTTTATGTTACCCACATGTTATTTTATAGACGACTCAAAGAGTTCAATTTTGAAAAAATACTTGGGGCATCTTGCAAGGATGCTAAAGCTATGCTCTGACCTCGTCAAACTGCTGGGTGCTGAGGCTATGCTCTGACCTCGTCAAACTGCTGGGCGCTGAGGCTATGCTCTGACCTCGTCAAACTGCTGGGTGCTGAGGCTATGCTCTGACCTCGTCGAACTGCGGGGTGCTGAAGCTATGCTCCGACCTCTTCGAACTGCACAGCGGGAAAGTAATGCCTGGAAAACGGCATCAAGCATTGTGCTACCTTATGTCGGAGGAACAAACTTTTACAGTAATGGAAGGGCTCAATGTGCCGTGATGTTGTAAGATGGCCCATGCCTTCGGAGTAGAGCGTCCAGAGCCAGCCCTAGCACTATGTCGAAAACTTCATTAATGTTTTCTGCAGCCTTTACAATGAGTGCTGAATGCTTACTGCGTTCCGCCCAGCACCAGCGTACGGCGGTGTTCTCAGGGGAGTGGGGGGGGGGGGGGGGGCAGACAGACGGTCAATGCCAATGAACGCAGCATTGATCCTAGTTTGTACAGTGACATGTGCACTTTTTTAGGTCTTGCATTGTGTTACATGTAGTCATGGGCTTCAGTTCTCTGGGCATTTATCAGTCGTCATCATTCTTACAAGGTCCACAGGCCGCGCTTTGGATTTTGCCCAACGAACCACATTTACCACCCATGGTGTCTTTTGGGTCAAGTCGACCTTGCCGGCAAAAATGTTTCCTTTTGTACAGCTGTCGGGTAGCTGTGCACAAGGTGGCGGAACAAGGGTGAAGCAATAATGCTTTTACCCAAACCGTCAGGCACACCGCCGCTCACACACAAGTGCGCCCTTTCCCACGGAGCACGAAACGACGTAGAGCGCTCTGGTGATCAACGCATGCGAGTGATAAATGACCACAATGAGGCAGTGGTCATAACCTACGTTCGACATTGATCCGAACAACGCTAAGCAAAGAAGTGCGGTGATAAAAGAACGCACTATTGCGTCAATAAGATATGAGCTGGTTCCGTATGTACGCCGCAACTGACGATGCGATGCAGATGCAGGAGTCATAAATGACCAGCGTAGGAAACACTGCGCGTGAGCTAAGCTCGAGTGCTCTATGGGGCCACAGGCCTGGGAGGCTTTGGTGCCGGGTAGCATCGTTAATATTCTGGCATTAGTTTATAGCTGTTTGATAATGACCTATAGCGAAACTCTTTCAACGTATAAGGCTGTTTTGGAAGCACATCTTGTTCTCGAACATTATCACTAAGCCAGCTATCGCATCATGAATCACGAGGAGCTTGTTTGGCGTGCTATCACGTTATCCGTTGATATTACCGCTCGGGGTGCCTGTCTGGTAAGTCTGGTAAGCCTAGGCACAAATGATGAGGGCTATTTTCGATGCATTTTAGAAAAAAAGGCAGGACCAGTCGGGAAAAAAGGGAGCGAAGTCAGTCGTTAGTTGTCAGGTCTGACAAAATAGTCAGTAGACCGTCGGTGGAAGTGTTTTGGCTTCTTTTTACGCACAAGTTAGTGGTTTTACGTGTTGAAGGCCGAACTGACATTTTTGGGTCTAACCCGTCTATGCGGTGCCACAGACATGACCCTAATTTTATGAAATGTTGTTGCGGATGAAGCTACGTCGACTCCACGTGCACTCATGGTTGGTGCATATGGCTTGTCTTGGACAAACGAGCGTCACAAGAATGCAAGATAGAGACAATGAGGAAAGGCGGATGGATGTCTGGACGCTGTCCGCGCGTCAGGTGAGAGAAAGCTGCAAATTAACATAACAGCTAACGCAGACCAGAACTGACTGCTTGCAGCGTATGCCACCAGGTACGGAGGTACTCGACTCAACGGCGAAGAATTCATGGCGGGCCCGGATCTGCCTGAGTTAAATCAATGAAACCCTAGCTAATGCACAGCACGTTGATTACGCCTGTAAACGGTTCTAGACCGCCCGAACGCGTCTAGTCCACGCATGCAATCCCCGTATGAGGGCAGGAGCAGTGGCTCAGCTCGTTGTTGCGTGCACCCAAATCTCGTATGCCGTGGACAGCGGGCTGGGGCGGGCGGTGCGTGGGGTGGGGCGGGAGTCACGGGGAGCGGGTGTTGGGTACGAGCCACTGTGCGGGAAGGAGTCTTGCCCGACTGGCCAAGGAAGGTCTGCTGGAGCTTGGCCGAACGGAGTCAGCCTGGCCGGCGGGCCCTAGGGGAGCAGCGGGACAAAATATCGCGTTTTGAGTTTCGACGGCAATATGCTGATGCCAACATGTAATTCGAGTCTGGCTTCTGCACTCATACCTTGAACTGGATACCTTGATCGTGATGATACATTGAACTGGATACCTTGATCGTGATGTCTGATGATTTAACTACAGGGATAGGGCGTTTCGGTGCTCATCGTATTCGGTGTTCATTGTAATCAGGTCTCTGGTATCGATTTTTCTGATCGTGGCCAGAAATCAGGTCAAATTGTGCATATCGTGATCACATGAAACTTTTCCTGCAAGCTTTCAGGCAAATCTAAAGAATCCGCTGAATCTAGAGTGTGGATCTGCTGAATAGCTCTTTTAACACAACCGTTACAGTACAGGGACCTAATGCGTTTCCAAATATGAAATGCTGAACCGTAGGAATAAACAAGCACTGACACCCATGGCTTACCGTCAGGGCTTCAAATCGGCCAAAAATTATCTAAGAGCCTTTTTCATTTAATTACCATGCACCTATTCGTTACTTCACATTCGCCCTACTTTAGGACTTAATCACATGTGGCCAAACGCATACCTAACGTAAAATGACTTCATGATACACACATTTCAATGACATCAATGATACACACCAATGACATCAATTCAGGCTTGGTGCCAATCAGCCCTTTTCATCCAAGCGTTTATCAGAGTGGTACCTAGTTTTATCCCGCAACATTTCACAGACACCGTATTTTGAAGGACACCTGAAATAGGATTACCGCAGTTGAAAGTCATCGTTTGTGCTCGTGTTAATCAAAGTAGCCACTTTACTGTACCCTGGAGGCGTTTTTGTTTCATCATGATGTGCCAACAGTCATTTTACGTACATATATTTGGTTCCGTGGACCCAAGCCATCAAGTACCTCAAACTGATTTACTAGGTTTTAAGGGCGCTTCACCTGCAATGGTTATTTGCGCTGTGCCGCAAACTTCAGATAACGCATAGGTACATCATAATAAAACGAGCGCGCCTCCGGAGGGAAATGTTACGGCCACTCTTACAGCTCTTACAAGCCATTGGATTTGCTCCAGCTTATTCTATTTTTCAACGATTTCGGGTTTGATCCAGTCCAATTAGAGCCCTGCCTTAAATGCGTGATAGTATGACGTTTATTTGACTCATATATAGTTTGGCCCCGCGGCATGCTAGACGCGTCCAGTTTTAAAATGCACGGAAACGGTATAAGACGGACGGTAACACTCGCTGTTTTTCGTCGGCCCAATAAAAAAGCCGGCGAATTTGGAAGCGTTTTTTGTTTCGGCATCAGGTGCCATTTCGTCACATCATGTTTGTACATTCGGTGCTATGCGATGGAATCATACAGTACCGCAAATGTGAAATGATGGAGAGGTACCTGTATCTCAAGCACCATGCTTGATAATAAAACAAAGCGCCTCCGGAGGTCATGTTGACGGCACTCGCGGCAAACCATGGTCCTGATCCTGCTTATCCGAATTTTCGAGAATGTCATATTTGGTACTAACCGTGGTCCCTGTGTGTGACAAGGGCCTAATCTCTCGAGCGACAACTTACGGACGTTTCTCAAGCAGCTACGACATTGCTTCCAAATGCTTCCAACTTGTCGGTGAAGATAACGCTTATGAGTCAAATCTGAGGTAGCCAAATAACCAGATGAACAACGCAGAAAGAATAATAACATGATACGATAAGACCACATTCATGGTACATTGATATGTTGGTGTTGGATGTTCAGAGACGTAGTACTGTAATGGTAAATATGAAATAATATATTGTGGCGCTTTGTATGTGGTGCACTGCTGGTTTTATGCGTCAACCCTTTAAGTACCAATCTGTGGGTTGAATGGGCGGTGGGTGGTATAGTGATAGGCTGCACTCCTGCATTCATGTAAACATTTTGGTAGAGGTAGGTGCTATGGGAAGCTAATTGCCCTGACCTTGGCCTTTCAACTGGGTAGGTAGCTCCATGTGATTGCTTTTTAGCAACATGTTCCTGTGATTTGTAGAGGTCCAACAGTCCAAAAGTGGCAGCCACTGTAATGATAACTTTATCCAGGGTCCCAAATGCCATTTTTTTCCAAACTCATGTCAATTTGGACTCAATATATGCAAAATTGTCCTGCATGTAGTGTAGCTATCAGGTTGGGGGCATTGCCACCCTTGCCCCTCACTTGGCTGTCAGTGAACAAAATTTCCTAGTTCCTCAGTTTTTTTTAGCATGAAAGGTGCCCTTGAGTATTATCTGGCTGTTTTGTGTAGGTAACTTGAAAAAAAAAATTATGGGCTGGTACAATACATGGATGGTGCTGTGATGGGACCACCAGTCTGTGGGTGGTGGCAAACCAGTCTACAAGATGCTTAGGGCAGGTCAAATTCTTCAGCAGATAGGGCAGCCAACTTTTCTGTTTGAACCAATGATATCTGATGATATCTGACTACTGAAAATTCTGCTGACCACTAATTTTCTATACTGCTATGTGTGAGAATATGCAGAGTTCCATTAAATATGCCACATAATCTTTGCTTTACCAAATTTGGTGTGCTAAAATGCACCAAACTTTTTTCAGTGTGAATGATGAAACCTCACAGTTCTGGAGTCACTTTAAACTACTAGCTTACCCAGCATTCATTTCTGTGTTGCTGCTGGTTTACATGTTCAGTGTAAGCAGTGGCAGCCAGTGCAAGGTAAATGCTCTGCACATGTGATTGGTGGGTCTCTGGCTGCAGTAGCTGCTCATGGATTTACATGCTGAAACTGGTTGGATAACATGCACCAGTTAGGATAACTGTTATGCAGTTCAGGAAAATGTGGTTCATGTAGCTTGTCTCTTCTTCATTTATTATGCATTGTGATGGGTTTTCAGTTCTTTCAAATGCCTCAACACATGCCCCAACTATCAGTTCTTTCCTCAACCCTCCCTTACAGGATCTTGTCAACATCTGTGATATTTTGCAGGCTGGGTTGACTACCAGGTACCCTTAAAATGCAATCCCTTGTCAACTGGGCTAACTTTATCACATATGTGTGCAGCATGCATTACCATCTGCAGCTCTGTCTGGCAAAAGGTAGAAGACAACATTATCCATCACTGGGCTACATAGCATGGTGGTTGGTGGGTCCAAGAAATGTGTAGCAAGCTATCTCTAGCATGTAGTGTGGTGAGTTGCTGACAACTCAGTTTAAAGTTATCAAAGCATGAAAAACACCATAAATGCTTTTGTTAGTGTAAACACATTTCATTTCATCCATGGACATTTGGAGTGTGGAAGGATCTTAGAATATTGGTCACATGCATGCATAGGACCCATTACAATTTTAAGTCTCCAACTGGATTACATTGATGCAGGGATTTCCAAATCGTGACAGTCAGATGTGCTGCCGGGATTCTCTAAAAGGGAGGAGGGGGGGGGGGGGGGGGGAAGAACACAGGGTACTGATTTTTTATTTTCTGTCAACCATCTCTGGTGATGAATGACAAAATGTGGATCTAAGGAAAGGGGCAGAAAAACTGTGTCCACTGAACCCTCCCTGATTGATCCTGTGGTGGCAGTGCACCATTTTTATTTTAGTTAGTTGCCTTTCATGTTTTTGCCACATTCATTACAACTGCCAAAAATGAAAAGGCCAAGCTGATTCCATTTGGTCATATTTTACAGCATCAAGAGTGCTGTTCATGCACACAATACAAATTTGTGGGGTGGATAGGTTTTTATCTCTCCCAGTGCTCAAGTAGATTCCTTCCCCCTAAAAGCTTTGGTGTCAAAGTGTCTGCTGCTCATCTAAAAGGCATTGCTTGCAAGGGGACATCCATATAGTATGTTACACATTTTTGGCCATTTTCCAACCCTTTACCCTTGTTATGCATGAGTGAGGCTGAGCAAAATGTTCCCTTCCTTTCTGAATATGCTGTGCCATAACTTTGTAAAATCCGGTTTTTCAGAAAAGAAATGTAGATGATTTGTTTGGTACCAGCTGCTAGTTTCCTGCTCACATATTATTGGTTCCTTCAAGTAACTGACTCAAACATCTAAACTACCACTATGGCTGCCAACTTTTGGAGTGGAGAAGCCATTACAGCTGAGCGAAAGGACATACCGGTGAGGAAATGTGATCATGCCCCTGCAAATGGTTGATATTTTTGTCTGCATCTGTTTTTGTTGTATTGATCCATGCAAAATGTAAAAATAGCATTTTAATGTGGTTAGACTGTTATCTGAATACAACAAAATAAGTTATGTTGCACCATGGGTATGTTTCTTTGCTGTTCACCTTCTGAGTCCCAATTTTCTGTGTTTTTTTTTACTGTATGACAGGCTGAACATCTTCCTTGCTGTATCTGACTCCACTCAGTATCATATGATGGCCGAGGCTGTATCCGTTATCACTGAGGCAACATCCAGTGTGACACTTGTTCACTGGCCGCCAGTCGGCCAGCTGTATGGCGGTGAGCCAGGACGGCGGCCACGCGCTGCTGGCCAGCCGGCGCCTGCTGGTCATGGTGGACCTGCAGCAGCCGGGCCAGCCGCTGCGCTCCGTCAGCTGGCAGAGCAAGTACGACGCCGGCGTGGCGGCCTGGAGCAGAGCCGCCGGCCAGATCGGAGCCGACGTCGCTGTCGCGGTCAGTGACCACCCCCGCCGCCAGCCGCCGGCGCTCGGCGCTGCTCTGTCACTCGCTGGTGCACATCGGTTGATATCTATATATACACACACACACACATATATATATATATATATATATATATATATATATATATATATATATATATATATATATATATATATATATATATATATATATATATATATATATATATATATATAGTGTGTGGTGACTGCCATCACTGGCGGCGATCAGCACGTGTGGGGTTGACCGCGGACCAAAGTCCGCCCCCACCAAGCGTGTCACCGCTGGGCCAGGGCGGCCCCACTGCCGGCCCACTGCCGGCCCCTGATCGCCGTCCTCCGCCCGCTGCAGTACAACACCCAGGTGGTGGTGTTCCGCTGCGACGGTGCGGACCTGCGCGACACGGCGAAGCTGCTGTCGCACCGGCGCAGCATCACCGACCTTGACTGGCACTGGAGCGAGCCGTTGCTGGCCACCTGCAGCGTGGATGCCAACGTGCACATCTGGGACGTGCGCGAGCCGCGCCGCCCGGCCGCCGCCATGCGCTCCGTGGAGAGCGCCTGCCAGGTGAGGGAGCCGACCGGGCGGCGGCCGGGGGCTGGGGCTCAGCCGGCGATTGGTCCGCGCTGGTGGCGAACCGCGAGCCGAGCCATCCTAGCCAACTTAGGCTCGGTCAGCGCCTGTTTGATCGCGCACCACGGTGTCGGCCCTGACACTCCTCTCCCTCCTCTCATGGTCAGGTCAAATGGAACCGGATATCGAGCCAGACGCTGGCCAGCTCGCACGAGGGCGACATCCGGGTGTGGGACCGGCGCAAGCTCAGCATTCCGGAGCGCTACATCTCGGCCCACACGGCCAAGATCCACGGCCTCGATTGGTCGCCGACCGTGGTGAGGCTCCCGGCAGTGGGCGCTCCGGCCTGGCGGCGGGTCGCTCCGGCCTGGCGGCGCCACCCACAGCCGCCATCGGCGGCGGGTCGCCTGCCTGGGCGGCCGCCGCGCCTCCCGCCGCGCACCGCGGCGGCGCTGCGTGACGGCGTGAGCCGGTGAGGCGAGTGAGGCAGCGCGCGCCCGACCGGCATTGCTGATTAGATCTGGTGTCGCTACTGCGTGAGTGGCGGCACCCGTCGCAGCGCCATATCCAGTCGTCGGGGGCGAACCGCGGCGCCCTGCTCTCCGATGTTGGTTGTGGATGCCTGGGTGACGTCGCCATGTCGTTTACAAAGGATACACACCGCGTCGCGGTCCGATTGGCCGGCGGCGGCGGCGTTTGCCTCTGCTGCGCCGCTGATGACCTCGTGCGCGGCGCGGCCGCCGTCGCCTCCTGAGCCGTCGCCGCCGCCTTGGGCCATGTCCTTGGCTGACCTGCGGCGCTGGCTGTCCCCCAGGAGTGCCAGCTGGTGACTGCCAGCCAGGACATGTACGTCAAGTTCATCGACGTCACCAACCCGCGCAACATCGTCAGCATGCCCAAGGCCAAGGACCCCGTGTGGCGCGCCCGGTACACGGTACGTGCTCGCTGTCCGCCGGCTTGGATCTGTCCGACACGCATTAGTGGTGGGGGGAGAGGGCAGTGATGCGGCGTTTTTGTTCCGTTCGCGTCGTACAGTGCCGGCTCGCACGTCATGCACGGTCGACATTGCAGTGGGGTTTGTCTGCGGGCACGAGTGTCTTGGTTACAGCACTGGCATGGGCGTCCCGTGCGTTGTTGACGCCCACGCGCCTTTCTGTGCTCCCTGTTAACTCCACAGCGATTTGTCTTAGTTTCTGGCAGCCGTTCGACCGCCGCCCGGTGACGTCACGTGTGCGTCTGTGTCCGGCAGCCGTCCGGCTGTGGCGTGGTGACGTCACATGTGCGTCGTGACGGCGTCCTTCGTGTGTTCGGCAGCCGTCCGGCTGTGGCGTGGTAACGTCACGTGTGCGTCATGACGGCGTCTTCGTGTGCCCGGCAGCCGTCCGGCCGCCGCCTGGTGACGTCACGTGTGCGTCATGATGGCGTCCTCCGTGTATCCGGCAGCCGTCCGGCCGCCGCCTGGTGACGTCACGTGTGCGTCATGATGGCGTCCCCCGTGTATCCTACAGCCGTTCGGCTGCGGCCTGGTGACTGAGGCAGTACCGCAGCTGCGGCGCGGCGACAACTACTGCCTCTGGCTCTGGAACACGGCCAGCTTCGGCTCGCCAGTGCACACCTTCGCCGGCCACTCGGACGTCGTGTTCGACTTCGACTGGCGCTGCCGGGAGCCGGCCCGCGCGCGAGGTACCCGGCCGCGACGCCTCTCGCCACGCAGCGGCGGCGGAGGTCGCCGGCCGAGGACGGCCACGCCGCCCGGGAGGGATGGAGGCTCGCGCGCCGTGGGCTTCGCCCTGTGTCCGGCGGTCGACTGCCGAGCGATAGGGTTGTGGCTCGCTTGCAGGGGCGAAAGCTTGCTTCTGGCCACATTGTCGGCACCAGCAGAACTGTGCTGCCGCTGAGCCGAGCGACGTAAGACGCCGCGAACTGGACTGCTGACAGTCGTCTTTAGCCGACAGCCGCCTTTAGTCAGTTGACAGGACTTTAAGCCGCGCTCTCGACGTTAGCTGCTAACGTTGAGAGCGCGGCTTAAAGCGTCCCGTGCACTCGGCAGCGACGATAACGCGAACCGCCGGCGTTCCTTGGCCGCACGGATTGACGGCGAACCTCTCTCCCAGACGAGAGCGAGTACGAGCTGGTCACGTGGTGTCGTGACCAGACTCTGCGCCTGTGGCCGCTCAAGGCTGACCTGCTGCAGGCGTGCGGCCACGACACGGCCTCCAACGGTGCGGAAGGCGAGCACGCCGCCTCCCCCACCACCGATGGTACGTACCTCACCACGGCCTGGAAGACCTCCCCCGCCACGAGCGACTTGCTGGTTGTCTTATCTGGCTTGACCCTCACCTTGCATGGCCCGGCTTAGCCCGTGTCTCGCACGGCTCGGGTTGGCCCGCGTCTTGCGCGGCTCGGGTGGACCCGCGTCTCGCACGGCTTGGGTTGGCCTGCGTCTTGCACGGCTCGGGTTGGCCCGCGTCTCGCACGGCTCGGGTTGGCCCGCGTCTCGCACGGCTCGGGTTGGCCCGCGTCTCGCATGGCTCGGGTTGACCCGCGTCTTGCACGGCTCGGGTTGGCCCGCGTCTCGCACGTCTCGGCGTGGCCCGCGTCTTACACGGCTCGGCCCGGCCAGCGCCGTGTACGACTCGCCCGGTGTCGCGCGCCGTTTTGACCTGCCCGTGCCGCGCGCCGTTTTGACCCGGCCGTGCCGCTCCCCAGGTATGGAGACCAGCTGTCTGGACACGCCCGGCTCGCCGTTTTGACCCGGCCGTGCCGCTCCCCAGGTATGGAGACCAGCTGTCTGGACACGCCCGGCTCGCCGTTTTGACCCGCCCGCGCCGCCCCTAGGTATGGAGACCAGCTGCCTGGACACGCCCGGCTCGCGGGAGCAGTCGGCGGCCGAGAGCGGCGCCGCCAGCGGGCCCGCCTCGCCGCTGTACTCGCCGGCACGCGCGGCGCCCCGTATTCGCCGCGCCACCAGCGAGGACCCGCCGGCCACGCCCAGCCAGCCGCGCACGCTCGAGCAGGAGTTCCGCATGATCAACAAGAACATTGACAACGTGCGCATCGAGAAGGTGCGCGAACGGAGAGACCGCTGTCGGCCCGGGTCGAAGAGTCCCGGGGGGGGGGGGGGGCGGGTATGTTATGCTGGCAGCCGAGGAGGACGGCACGCTGGTAATGAGAGGGAGGCCCATCCACATTCATCAAGAACAGCGTATATGAAGCCCTCCCGACCTAGAGAGACCCATCCACGCCTTTCATGAACAGCATACATGAATCAGTGTTTATGTGGGGAGGTCCGTCTACACCATTCTGGACAGCATCCTCAAATTGGTCTCGATGTGACTTGGCCAGTCGTGAGTACGTACCCGCTGAGAAGCATTGGTGCCGGCGGCGGTGGCTGGCTGCCCGGCCCATCGCCTGACCGGGCCCTCCTCTCGGCAGCTGAACGCCGAGGAGCGCGCGTGCCACGTGTCGGTGGTGTATGACCTGACCTGACCCACCTCTCTCGGCAGCTGAACGCCGAGGAGCGCGCGTGCCACGTGTCGGTGGTGTATGACCTGACCTGACCCACCTCTCTCGGCAGCTGAACGCCGAGGAGCGCGCGTGCCACGTGTCGGTGGTGTGCGGCCTGACCTCTGTCTGACCTGGCCCGCCTCTCTCGGTAGCTGAACGCCGAAGAGCACGCGTGCCACGTGTCGGTGGTGTGCGGTCTGACCTCTGCCTGACCTGACCCGCCTCTCTCGGCAGCTGAACGCCGAGGAGCGCGCGTGCCACGTGTCGGTGGTGTGCGGTCTGACCTCTGCCTGACCTGGCCCTCCTCTCGGCAGCTGAACGCCGAGGAGCGCGCGTGCCACGTATCGGTGGTGTGCGGTCTGACCTCTGTCTGACCTGACCCGCCTCTCTCGGCAGCTGAACGCCGAGGAGCGCGCGTGCCACGTGTCGGTTGTGTGCGGTCTGACCTCTGCCTGACCTGACCCGCCTCTCTCGGCAGCTGAACGCCGAGGAGCGCGCGTGCCACGTGTCGGTTGTGTGCGGCCTGACCTCTGCCTGACCTGACCCACCTCTCTCGGCAGCTGAACGCCGAGGAGCGCGCGTGCCACGTGTCGGTGGTGTGCGGCCTGACCTGTGCCTGACCTGGCCCTCCTTTCGGCAGCTGAACGCCGAGGAGCGCGCGTGCCACGTGTCGGTGGTGTGCGGTACACTGAGCGCCTGCCTGCTGGTCACCTTCCCGCCCAGCTACCCGAGCCGGCAGCCGGAGGTGCGCTTCCTGGAGGGCACCCGGCTGAGCCAGGCCGGCCGCCAGGAGGTGCGCAAGGCCTGGGAGCTGACGGCCGAGCAGCACGTCAAGAGGAACCGCTCCTGTCTGGAGCCCTGCCTGCGCAACCTGGCCGGCAGCCTGCAGCGGCTGATGGAGCGCCAGGAGGAGACGGCGCCGCCGCCCTATCAGGTGGGCGGGGCCCGGCGCGCTCCGGCAGACGCTGGCGTCCAGGTGGCGCGCGCCTCGGTGCCTGCCTGCGCTGGCGTCCTGGTGGCGCGCGCGAGCTTTCTTCATCTTCATCTTTCATCTTTATCTTCATCGAGCAAACTTCATCTCTCATCGCGAAGCTATATTTTTTTGGCATTATTTATCATTGTATGACTGCAGTGCCGCCATCGTTGCGTTGTCGTCGTGTCAGGTTCAGAGATGGTTCTCCTTTCTGCGCGGCCATGGCTGCGTTGAACTACAGATGACGCCGGAAGGCCTCTTCCAGGCGTCCAATGTGGCCCTATTTTCCTCGGCCAGCCCGTACGGCAGCTTCAAGGACGTCAACGTCGCCTTTCCGCGCACCTCCGGCGCCAGATTCTGCGGAAACGGTGGGTCTGAGTCGTGTCGAAAGCGAACTGACGGCCGTCTGGTGCGTGCCTGGATCTTGCTGCCCTTGTTGTGGCCAGCGCACTTGGTCGCAACGAGACGATGCAGGACAACGCAGACGCAACGGCTGCATCGCAGCGCAGCACCATGCTTGCAACCGATATATATATATATATATATATATATATATATATATATATATATATATATAATTGTTCATGCCTTGAAATCCCATGCGCGATGACATCGCCACGCAAGTGCGGTTTTCATTGGCGACTGCCTACCAAAGTCTTCCCATGTGTGCGTGGTGAACGAGCGCGGTGTGAAGACGATTCGTGACGCACCGAACGCGTGGCGTGCGGCCTGCGTTCACCGCTGCCCGTCACGCGCTGACCTGCCGTGACGTGACGGTGCGGCGCGTTCGGCAGGCGCGTTGGTGGTGTTCGCCTGCCCGGCCTTCATGAAGCTGTCGTCCCGCGGCGACAGCGTCACGCCCCGCTCGCTCTCCGCCCTGGACGCGTACCTCATCAACTACGCGCAGGGCCCGATGGGGCTGTCCATGCTGGGCGGCTCGCCGCTGCTGTTCCCGGCGCTCTCGCGCAGCCCGACCGGCGCCGACGGCGCCCTCTACGCCAAGGACGGGGTGAGTGGCGGCGCTCCCCGCCGTCCTCCGCGTGGGGAGCGGCACTTCCTGGCGCTGTCACCCTGCGCCGTGGCTGCGTTAGGGGACCACGGATAGCGGCACTAACTTGAAGCGGCGTCCTCGCTACGAAGTGGTTTAGATTTCGGTGCGCTTGTGGTGTTTCTCGGCAGCTGAGTGGGTGGGTCTGCCTTCCTGTACTAGCGCGGAGCCCTTCACCGTGTCTGTCCGACTGTCATGGACTCGTGTACCCCGCCTCGTTGTAGCCAGGCAGAGCCCCCCTCACTGCACAGGTCCGCCCGGCTGCCACCCGTGCACTTGTCCGCCTGCCCCTCGCGTACTGGGGCGGGCGGGCGGCGTCGATCCTTGGGGTGCCAACTCACGACCTCCTCGGTCTCTGTGCCGCCTCCTTACGGCCTCGTTAACCCCTGGGCCGCCGCCCCTGGGTCGCCTCTACCTGATCTCGCAGACAGTCCCTGGGTCGCCGCTCCCTGACCTCCTCGGTCTCTATGCCGCCTCCCACGGCCCCGTTAGCCCCTGGGCCGCCGTCCCTGACCTTGCTGACCCCTCGGTCGCCGCCCCTAATCTGGTCGGTCCCTGGGTCACTGTCCCTGACCTGGTCGGCCCTTGGGTCGCCGCCCCTGGCCTCGTCGGTCCTTGGGTCGCCGCCTCCTGACCTCGTCGGTCCCAGGGCCGGCTCTCCCTGATCTCGTCGGTCTCTGTGTCGCTGCCCCACGACCTCGTTAGCCCCTCGATCACCACTCCTGACCTGGCCGGTCCTCTCCGCCGGCGCAGCGCACCGGCTCTTCGTCGCTGGGCCGGCGGAACAAGGCGTACGGCGAGGAGCGCCAGCGGCAGCGCCACCACCGTCACCACAGCAACCTGGTGCTCTGCTACGACGTCAGTCGCCTGTCGCTGCTCAACAGGGAGCTGGCGGAGCGATACGTGTAAGTGGCCGGCGCCGGGGGAGGGGGGGGGGGGGGGGGCTGCTGAGGCTCCCAGTCTGGCGGTCGAGTTACTCCCTCCCCCCTGTCCCAAAACCGGCGGCTGAACTCGCTGTCACTTCGTCGGGCGTTTCGGCTGGTATGTTGGCGCTTGCTTAGGCAGCGTCAGACGCGTGGCCGGCACGGGCCGCGCTGACGTCCGGTTCTGCGCGGTGCTGTGTCCTGTGCGCGGTGGAGCGCTTGCGTTCTGTCTGCGCGGTCCTGTTTTCTGTCCGGTGTGCGCAGTCGAGCTGGCGTTGGGTTCTGCGTGGTCCTGTGTTCTGTGCGGTGCGCGCTGTCGAGCGCTGACGTTCGGCACCTGTCGCCAGCCTGAGCGGCCCCGACTTCGGCGCGGTCTGCGCCGCCAATGCGGACCTGGCAGCCTCCGTCGGCAGAAAGGATCTGGAGAAGGTAAGTGGTACCGCCGCCCACGGGGCGAGGCCGCCAGCAGGAGCTCACTTTGGATTCCTCTTGTTATTTGCGGATAGGTCAGTTCACAAAGTTCCTAGTCATCCACGCGTTTAGTATGATAAGATAACCGTCTTTTTGGTTATTTGGGATAGTTGGTAAAGCCATGTCTCACCACGGAACTCGAAATAATATGCATGCGTAATTTCGTGCCATTAGCAGTTATCGTATATTTAGACCGTCAATGAATGGCCTGAGGGGCAGTACTGGTTGGGAGTGTCGCTGTGATGTGGAGGATCATTTAGCGGTGGGGTAGAGTCAGTCACGTATAATGGTGACATGGGATCGGGTCGCCGTCAATCTTACCACAGACGGCTGCCGGTGTGTGGCTGCCTGACCACAGACGGCTGCTGGTGTGTCGGAGCCTGACCACAGACTGCTGCTGGTGTGTGACGGTCTGACCACATACGGCTGCTGGTGTGTGGCAGCCTGACCACATACGGCTGCCGTTGTGTGGCTGCCTGACCACAGACGGCTGCTGGTGTGTCGGAGCCTGACCACAGACTGCTGCTGGTGTGTGGCAGTCTGACCACATACGGCTGCCGGTGTGTGGCAGCCTGACCACATACGGCTGCCGGTGTGTCGGAGCCTGACCACATACGGCTGCCGGTGTGTGGGCAGCCTGACCACATATGGCTGCCGGTGTGTGGCAGCCTGACCACAGACAGCTGCCGGTGTGTGGCTGCCTGACCACAGACGGCTGCCGGTGTGTGGCAGCCTGACCACAGACTGCTGCTGGTGTGTGGCTGCCTGACCACAGACGGCTGCCGGTGTGTGGCGGCCTGACCACAGACGGCTGCCGGTGTGTGGCTGCCTGACCACAGACGGCTGCCGGTGTGTGGCTGCCTGACCACAGACGGCTGCCGGTGTGTGGCAGCCTGACCACTGACGGCTGCCGGTGTGCGGCGGCCTAGCCACATACAGCTGCCGGTGTGCGACAGCCTGGCCACAGACGCCCGCCTGTGTTTGACAGATCTGGAACCTGATCGGTGTGGTGGGCGCCCCGGCGCTGGTGGCGCCCAGCCCGGACCCGAACGCCGGCCGGCCCTGGGCGCAGCACCCGTTCGGCCGCAACCTCGTCGATTCTGTGTGAGTGCCGCCGTCACCGCCGCCGGGCCGGATGCCCGCTCCAGGCCGACCTCTTGTCTGGGCGTGCGGTGCGGCTCCCGGTTGAGCTCCGCCAGCCGCTGTCGGGCTGACCCCCGGCAGCGGTGCCGCGCCGCCGGTCAGAGCGTACCCCGCTGTGGCGCTCCTTCACACTGTCAGTGACGCAGCGGGCGCCGCGCTCTGCGCGTGGTGCGATGTCGACCGGACCGGGTTCGAGTGTACCTGTTCGTCCACAGGTGTTGTCTGTCTGCCTCTGTCTCGCTGCGTTACGATGATGTCTCATAATACGTATGCCCTGTTTGACTAGTGTTCAGGACTGCTAAAACCATCTTAAAAAACGTGTGATGGAACTGCCTGCCTGTCAATTTGTTACGCACTCTGCGATTTATGAGCCTTGTAGCGCTCACATCATTGGATGATCTGACGATGCAGGTCACTTTACGTCTGTCTTCGTCTTTACGTGTGTCTTAGCACTGCAGCCAACATTGAGATAAGCAACATCTTTTCAGTTGCAGACTTTGAAAATATCCGCAATCACCACAGTCAGTGGCTTAAGTCTTAAGGTCTTTTTACAGACAAGAGCAGGATGTTTCCCAAGGTGTGGCGCTCACTTTCCTGAAGTATACACGTATAACAAGACGTGTTTCCTTCACGCAGTAATTCACATTCAATACACGAGCCACAATATCCTTTTCAAGAAACGGTCATTATTACCGGAGTTAACGCTGGATTGAAATGGGGTGTGACGGTCAGGTAAACACATTTGGTGTTTACGAAATAGAACAACCACATCTTTCCAATGGACCCGCCTGAAGTTTGTATGCAGTTTTAGTGTTAAAAGACGCGATGCCCCTAAACATGCAATTTATTATTAAAAACGGGAATTCAGAGTGCCTAGAACGGTGTACATTCTGATCATTATTCCCGGGCAAGGCTACTCACTGGGAAATCAAAATCAACCTTCAAACAATTCTTCATAAAATCTTCAAAAAACACAAAAACCCAGCCGCCATCACCGTCGTCCTGGTGTCAGTCACACGGAGCTCAACAAAATCACTACGCCGTCGCCGTCAAGACCTCGATCTGTGCAGAAATAGATTATTCAGGATTGTGGAAAGAAGTCAAACTACACCCGTTATACCACACAGGCGTGTTCCATGACCTTGAACTCAAGGCATGGGGAAACGGATGTCGACGTGTCACTGGTTCGCTGACTGCCTCCAGCAGCGACCAGACTTCATTTACGGTCTCTGGCTTGCTGATGAGGCACACTGTTTGCCTAGTGGCCTCGTGAACTCAAAGAGCAAGGTGAACTGGAGGGAAACCAAGCCCGACATCTCACTTCAGCGACCCCTGCGCTTTGCGAAGTGTACCGCATGGGTGACGATGTCCCGGTATGGTCGTATGGCACCATTCTTGTTCGAGGGTGATGAAAACCATGCGTGGCCGTCCCGGTCAACGCCTGACAGTCGCCCACCGCACCTGACAGTCGCCCACTGCGTCTAACAGTCGCCCACTGCGTCTGACAATCGCCCACTGCGCCTGACAGTCGCCACTGCGCCTGACAGTCGGCCACTTCACCTGACAGTCGGCCACCTCACCTGACAGTCGGTCACCTCACCTGACAGTCGGCCACCTCACCTGATAGTCGCCCACTGCGTCTAACTAGTCGCCCACTGCGTCTGACAGTCGGCCACTTCACCTGACAGTCGGCCACTCCACATGACAGTCGGCCACCCACATGACAGTCGGTCACCTCACCTGACAGTCGGCCACCTCACCTGACAGTCGGTCACCTCACCTGACAGTCGCCCACTGCGCCTGACAGTCGCCCACTGCGTCTGACAGTCGGCCACTTCACCTGACAGTCGGTCACCTCACCTGACAACCTGACATCGGTCACCTCACCTGACAGTCGCTCAGCGCCTGACAGTCGGTCACCGCGCCTGACAGTCGGCCACCTCACCTGACAGTCGGCCACCTCACCTGACAGTCGCCTACCGCGCCTGATAGTCGCCCACTGCGCCTGACAGTCGGTCATCCGCGCCTGACAGTCGGCCACCTCAGCCTGACAGTCGGCCACCTCACCTGACAGTCGCCCACCGCGCCTTATAGTCGCCCACTGCGCCTGACAGTCGGTCACCGCGCCTGACAGTCGGCCACCGCGCCTGACAGTCGGCCACCGCGTCTGACAGTTGGCCGCCGCGTCCGCCGGCAGGATCGCGCACTATCTGCGCGCGCGTGACGTACAGACGGTGGCCATGATCTGTTGCGTGCTGGGCACCAAGACGGAACAGCCGGTCTCCAGCCTGCACCAGGCCGCCTCCCAACTGGAGAACAGCAGCGTGAGTGGCGGGGCGGGCAGCGCGCGACGCCGCGGCTGCCCGGGACCACTCAAGGCCTTGCTGTCCGGTTCTGCTGCGGGTGGGCCCGCCACTGTGTATATTGTCGTGCAGGGGGCTTCGGACACGGCCGTAAAGTAACAGTATTGCTATGTCACTGTTGTACAGCTGTGTTCGGATGTAGTGCGTTTCAAGAGGCTGGTGGTCCGGGTGTAATCGTGTATATATATATATATATATATATATATATATATATATATATATATATATATAGATATATAGATAGATAGATAGATAGATAGATAGATAGATAGATAGATAGATAGATATATCTATATCTATATATCTATATATGCGTGCGTGCGCATTTATTATATATATATAGATATATTATATATCTATATATATATATATATATATATATTATATATAATATATATATATATATATATATATATATATAAGATATATAGATAGATAGATAGATAGATAGATAGATAGATAGATAGATAGAATATAGATAGATATATCTATATCTATATATCTATATATGGCGTGCGTGCGCATTTATATATATATATATATATATATATATATATATATATATATATATGAATATGATCTATACTACGTGCGTGCGTGCGTGCATGCGTATATATGCGTATATATATATATATATATATATATATATATATATATATATGTATATATATATATCTATGTATATATATATATATATATATATATATATATATATATATGCGTGCGTGCGTGCGTGCGTGCGTGCGTGCGTGCGTGCGTGCGTGTGTGTGTGTGTGTGTGTGTGTGTGTGGTGTGTTTATTGCGTTGATGCGTTGAGTGTTAACCGAAGTTGTAACCGCCATTGTCATTGGTGTATCAACCTTGACAGTTCACGAGACTCCAGTGGTGCGCTGATAGAGAAATTCGACCGGATGTCACTTAAGTCCGCTGGCGGGGAGGAGGAGTTGTGTGGCGAGGAGATCATGAGGTTAGGGTGAATTTCTTTGACCTTCGGGTCGAAAGAAAGGTAGGCCAGAGCCTGGGAGTCACCATCACAGCCCACTCAAAAGTTCCCGATAAGCGTCGGAGGAGCTGATGTTCTGTAGCGCGGATGGTGCAGGCCTAAGTGCTTGGCCGTGCTGATCGTGTTTGGCACCGGTCTTCGGGTGCCGCTCGCCTACTGTCGCCTGTCAAACCGACCGCTGTGTTGGACCGGTGGGTCCCGATCAACCGCGTGGTCTCTTCCCCAGCCTGCCCGTTCCCAACAAGTGGTGGATGAAAGGTAGGCGCGCGGCGTCCGCCGACTGTGCTGGCTGCCTGTGTGGCGTCTGGTCCCCGTCCCGTCCGTCCGCACGCTGGCCTCCGGCGCCCCGGCATGCAGCCTGCCCCCGCCCCCGCGCCCGCGTCCGCCCTGCCCGATCTGCTCCCCCCGCTGACCGCTGGGCTCGTCGCGGCCGCAGCGGCCCCTCTTGCTCACGCCGTCGGGCCGTCGCGTGTGCTCATTAGGCGGGACCTGCCGCGTCGTCGTAGGTCGGTAGCGACAGGCGGTCGTCTTTGCGTAGTAGACTAGGTGTTGATCCAACGGACTGGCCTGCGGCGGCTCGAGTTTGGGTCTCAGTTGGAGTGTGCAGTCCTGTCGCAATGGCGACAGGGTTCAATGTAGTCGGATGGGCCCTGCCGGCTCTTGCGAGCTCTCATCTCGGCCAACAGGGGATGAGGCCGTAAATGGATTACTTGGATACAAGCTCCAAATGGCAACATACCGAAGGCAGTACTGCGTGGCCCTAGATGCTGATCAAAGACGCTGAGATGCACCTTGGTTTGTTTTTTCTTTCGTTTCACTTCGCTTCCCTATATTTTTGGTGTGATTAGAACTTAGTCTCTTGTATGCACGATAGTCTAAACCGATCAAATAGTGTTTCTAAACGTTCCTATTGGACGATGCGTTCGAGTTGCGCGCAGTTTTATATTGTATTGGTCCGGCCCCTAAATGTTTTGTAGCGTCAAACAAACTCCTCCGAACGGAGCTGACGCTTTATACTCGATTGCTACTGCAACAGTGCGGGCCTGAGTTGATGTTCTCACAGGCGCGGTTGGTCGCAATCATACAATTTGCATTCGTTGGCATTTTAGAGCTGCATTATTCGAGGGAAATGTGTTGGAGCCTATCGCGCGATTGCTTTCGGGAAGTGTGGTCAGTTGCTGGTGGCCGGGTTGGTAGCACTGAGTGGTAGATGAAGCACGTGTCATGTCAAAACAGCGCTGTCATGTGTTGCCATCTCGCTGTCTGAGCGCGGGACATTGCATTGTGTTGAACATAGTCTTGAATCGGTACTGGGACAGTGGTCCCGCCATGGAAATTGGAAGGCACGTTTCAAACGTTCTGGCACCTCCCTACGAAAAGTATCAGTTGAAGGTGTGCTCATATCGCATTTCCAATTGTTCACCGCGACCTAAGGATAGCAGTCTGCGCGTTGAAAGGAGACACTCAGTTGACGCTCTTCTACGCAGTGTTTTAGAGAGAAAGACTGGCTTTGGAAAACCGCCTTCCACGCGCTAGTACAGCGGAAGGGGTGGCGGATTGCTTGGATTGCTTCTGTTTTGTTTCGCACCCGACCGTGGTAGTTGGCCCGCTGCTTGCCGGCCAGACCTGCCGCTCTAGCCGCGCAGCTGGCGGCCGGGATGTGCCTGCTAGCTGCTCTGACCGCTGTTGGTGATTGACAAACTATGTCATGAGCGTAGAACACTATGTTTGTTTATAAGCCGGATTCGTGGGGTGGTCGTGCCCAAAATGTGCACTGGCTATGAGTCCGTGCTCACTTCTTGGTCGAGCAAAGTATTACGTTGTCATCCTCTAAACGTCATTCGCGCAAGTGATATGAGCCCCGTCATTGGTCCATGTCGGCTGCATCGTTCCAGTGTCTTTTTTATCTGACAGTCATGTAACGCCAGCCATACTTGCATCGATTGTCTTGGACCGAGGCATTGCCGTTTCACGTGATTGCACTGGGGCTCATACGTGAATGCGTTTGGTTGGCTCAACGACAATCCGAACGAGAGAGAGAGAGAGAGTACCCTTGCAGTGGCTGCCTCTGGTGTGGCCTCTATTGCACTCTAGAACGAGAGCCATCCTTAGGCAGCGAGGTTAGCGGCGCCGTGTCAGCGCGCGGCGGCGGCGCGGGGCTGGTGCCGCCGCGGCTGCCCAGGCGGCCAGCTCGGTAACCAGTCTCCTGTGTTTCAGCTGGGTCTGTTGAAAAAGGTAACGCCGTGCCTCGAACCCGGTTGTACATACCGACCTCCCCAGCCCTCCCGGGAATAACTGCATGGCCGCCGCCCTAGATGAGTGTTGTAGACGGTAGAGCGTTGTCCCAACCTACTCGTACGTACATGCCTGCCAGCCCGGCCGCGGCCCGTCCGGACCGAGAAACGCCTGTCGTGAGGTCACGCTGGGTGGGCCCGGCTGACACGCGCAGACTCGCAGCCCGAGCAGGCGTCGGCCGTTCGGTTTCGTTCGCCCAGGATTGGATGCGCTAGCCTTGAGCCGTTTGCGTTTGCGCGAGTTTTGTTTGGTTTTGCATCATGCCACTATCAGACTGGACCCACTGAGTGTCGAGCGTTTAGTGGAGTGTGTGGTCGCCGGCGGCCGGTGCCGAACTGGAACTAACTGGCGTGGGGAATGTTAACAAACTCACATCAGCACCGTGCTTAAGTTATCGCTGGGTGAGATGAACACCATGAGGGTTTTTATATGCTTGGCGTGTGTATGCAATCGTACAGCTTTTCCAGTCCAAGCGAAAAACATGACGTACTGTTCAGCATCGTTCAACTACGAAGCTTTCGCTTTGTGTGCTCAGTCGGTCTCCAGTTTTCTGGTGCGCTGTTGGTGTATCCGTGGCTTGCGTCTGCTCCAGACGTCTGGGTCGTGCTGAGCACGTAGCTCGATAAGCTCTTGGCAGTATCTGTCCATCCCAGTACCAGTCTCGTGCTCCTGTCTCGTAGGAACCTGACACCATGAACGGGTAGAATCTACGTAGAGGTAGCTGACTACTGTGAAATATTTTAGCTGGACAGAAGACCTTACCTCATTGGAGATACGTACATCACACACCATAGCGCAGAGCGCCACATTCACATTTCAGCCCTGGAACCTCGCGTTGTGCGTCCTTCTACCGTCGTCCTTACTGCCGTGTCGGCTCCGTGTTCGCCCCGTCCGTGCCGTGCCGTGCTGGGTCGTGCCGCGCCATGCCGTGCCGTACCATGCTGGGGCGCACCGTGCCGTACCGTGCTGGGCCGCAACGTGCCGTGCCGTGCCGTGTCGTGCCGTGCCGTGCCGTGCGGCCGGGTTGACCGCGCCAGCCGCCGGCAGCCGGGCGAGTCGCCGTACCACACCGTGCACCCGACCGACACGCGCCGTCACCCGACGCTCGAGGGCCTGGGCGTGGCCGTGTCGCGCCAGAACCGCAGCAACTCCTGGTCGGACGTGCTGGACGAGAGTCGGCTGGCGACGCCCGATCCGGCCGCTTGAGGAGCGCGTCCAGCACGAGAACAACTGCAGGTGGTGGCGGTACTCCCCGCATGAGAACAACCGCAGGTGGGGGTGACGGTACTCCCCGCACAGAACAACTGCAGGTGGGTGGCGGTACTCCCCATACTAGAACAATTGCAGGTGGGTGGCGATCCTTCCCACCCGAAGGAAAACAACTGCAGACAGGTGGCTCTTGTCCCCTCGCGCATGAAGATACAGCCGGTGGTGGTAGCGCTTCCCGCTTACCGACGAGAACAGACGCTGTGGGTGGGTCCTCCTCTCCCGTGCGAACTCGGCCGGTTGATACGCTCTCTCGCTCCACCGAACAACTGCGGGTGGGTGCTGGTCCTGTCCGCCCAAAGGCGGGGTCCGCGGGATTTACTGCTAGATGGCGGCTACTTAGGCTCAAGTCATCTTGGAATTTGGGCCCCGTCGGCCAGCACAGCCTGTTAGAGTCCTAAGACGGGATGAACTGCCACCAGTGGAGAGAGGGGGGGATTTTGCATGACCCCTTGCTGGAGGCGACGATTTTTCTGTGCTCCCCCCCCTCCCCCAAACCCACCCAGTGACGGAGTTATTACCATCTTGGAGTACCTAGACTTGTAAAATGTATGTTGCTGGTCCAGAAATATATCCCTGTCCGATATGCGTTGCGGTGCCGTGGTGCTGGAGCTCAACCACCGCTCTGACGGCTGAGCTTTGTGTGCTCAGTCGGTCTCCAGTTTCTCGGCAGCGCTCGCTAGGGCTGGTGGACTGCCAACGCCAACGTATTATGGTGACACAGGGCACAGCTCAGCCGCCGTCGGCGTGTAGCCGTCACTGTGTCACTGGTGTCACTGCGCCACTGGTGTAGCTGTGTCACTGCTGACACTGTCACTGGTGTCACTGGACTCCGGCGTTTCGAGTCCGCCTGTTGCACGGCACCGAGCTGAGCGGTGTCGCTACCGGTGTCGCTACCGGTGTCGCTACCGGTCACCGCCTCCGTCGCGTCTCGGCGCGGCCCCGCCGCCGCAGCGGACGACGACGCTCGCCGGCGCCGTTGGGGCTTTACGAGACTCTCAGCTGCTGAGGCTGTATGGCGATGCATGCCTCTCACCCTGGCAGGGGGGCGAGTACCGCGAGGAATCTAACCCGGTATTTCTGTTCTCCCAAACGCGCAGCTTAACACGCGCCCGGGTGGCCGGTTGAATGCCCTTCGCTCGGGTGGCGGTCATTTTGACCCCCTGACATCTCAAAAGCCAAGAAAGCTAGAGACACGAAATTCGCGTGATGGGTTGGCTTGTATGTGAACTCACTGATCTGTGTGTGTGTCCAAATTTGAGGTTCCTAGGTTATGAACTGGTCATATAAGGTCAAATGAGGTCAAACTCCAGAATGGTGTCCGAAGTGCTCCCAGATCTCCTGATGTGACTGCCTTGGGCCTAGATACCCGTTCTGAGTAAAATATCTCTGCTGCCTTTTACAGGGTCGTGGCAACCAAAATCCTACACGATATGGATGTTTGCGGTTGAATAAGCGTCAAAGATTACGCTGGGCGGTGTGTTCTTGCGAGCAAATTTTTGAACTGGGTCATTACAGATCACTCACCTTCACTGGCCTTCAAGAAGCTTGTGGAAGATGTATCTTTTGGTTCCTGTTACTAACAACTTCGAAATGAGTATCAGAAACTACCTCATAGTGCAAGGTCTTGAGGAACAATTCAGGTTGGTTTTGACCTCTGTATGATCTTCATACCTGACATTAGGTCGGTGGGAGTTGCTGTAAGACATTTCAACCGTTTTATTGCATAAAAAACTATCGTTAATATGCATAGCTTCGTCTAACGCCCCGTTGTTGCATCAGATTGAATAGTTCCCTCCAAATGGCCTTCGCAGAGAGCCACGACCTGATTATTTTATGTACTGAAAGATACGCTATTCAGTTGCCTATAATCAGGCAAAGTTTGGCACCGCAACACTGCCCCGTTCAGAAATTATTCTGTAAAAACCTCCGGCGGTCGAATCCCCCCGCTCGGGAGCGTATTGACCCTGCCACCACC